ATGCTGCCACCTTTTCATACTGCTCCTCATGGTAAGGTGACCAGATTTAAAGCGGGACACCATTGACCGGGGTGGGGGGAGGGTTCTTGATTAAAAATTTGGTCTATATGGACCAAATAGACTGTTCCCTAGCTTGTCCTACATTCTTTCCAAAAATCGGGACTTTTTTAAAATGCCAAAAATAGGGACTGTACCGCCAAAAGCGGGATGTCTGGTCACCTTACTCATGTGGTCATCCCCCAACCATCAGATTATTTTCGGTTGCTACTTCACTGTAAGTTTTCTATTGTTATGAATTGGGCGACCCCTGTGAAAGGGTTGCTTGACCCCCGAAGGGGTTGCGACCCACAGGTTGAGAACTGCTGCCCTAGAAGAACTGTGAGCCAGTCAGTGCAGCCCTCTTCAGCTGTCACCTGGTAGAGCTTGGCCAAGTGCTGGTCTGGTCAGGTGCGGGTGCAGCCCCTTAGCTCCCCGAGCACTGGGCTCCTCAGTGGGCCCCACCTCAGATCCCACCTGGGCAGAGTCCCCTCCTGCCTCCCTGCTCTGGTTGTTGAGGGACTCTGGTCGGGGCGGGGCACGGGTAGGTGAATAGGCTGGCAACTGGCTCACACCCCTCTGGTCCCAGCCTTGGTTGACGGACCACCAGCACTCCCACCGCATGCTTGAAGGAACCTCCGTCGCTGCAGAAGTGCCAGACATCCAGGAAGCTGGCCACTGGCCAGGCTCAGATGCCCAGCAGGTCGCTTTGCCTTCTGAAGGTGACTTGCGTGTGTGAGGCTGAAACCTCTGCGGAGAGGCTGGGCTCACTCCTTACCCGCCCTCCCTCTCTCCCCAGTCCATCTCCGCCATGAAGCTGATGCAGTTTCAGGGCATACAGCACAAGACCAGCTCGCCCATCTCCCTGCCTCCAGTCACGCACCTTGACCTCACGCCCAGCCCTGAAGTACCCCTGATGATCTTGAAGAGGAAGCTCATGGTCACCAATGACCTGCATGAGTCCAGGGAGCTCCTCAGCAAGGTCAATAGGCACCTGGAGGTAAGTAGAGGTCAAAGTGGTAACTCCCGGCTCCTGTGGTCTCTGTCTGCTGACCATCATCCATCGTGAGAAGGGCCAGGTGCCCGTGCATCCCTCTCAGTTCATGAGCCTATCTCCATGAGTCACCCCTCTGTGAGTTGGGAGCAAAGAGACGGGCCTCTCGCTCCCAGACCCCACCTAGAAGCACTCTCATTTCTCTGCGTAGTTAGTCGTCCCGTTTGCAGGAAGACCCTGAGTCCTAGAGCCCAAAAGCTTCCTCAAACTCGCCCGGGGTTCTCCTTGGCAGTGGCGGAGTTGGGCCTCCAGGGGCTTGTCGCTGGGTTTAGAGGCAGCCGGTGACTCTTGGGGTTCCAGCTCTGGGACCACAGGAGGGCATGAACAGGGCCACTGCACGGATGTGGCGTGAGCCTCTTCTTTCTGACAAAGCCAGCCCTGTACCTCAGGTCTCAGCGCAGTGGACGGTCCTGCACGCTCGGAGACCCCGCGGGGCTTTCTTGGGAAGATGAGAGATGGTGGGAGCCATGAGCGCTCCAATACCATGGACGGCCTTGTTTCAAGGCCCCCAGGTTCTCCGCCCTGCCATGGCCCAGCCTTGCCGCACACAGACCTGTTGTCGGGAAAGAGGGCATCTTGTGGCCTTGAGAGCCCACCGCCCCCTAGGACCCTCAGGCCCAACTCCTAGTCTCTCGCCCAGACGGCAGTGAGTCTGTTGATTTCAGACTCACAGGAAAACCCCAGCAGGCGAGGGGCAGGGCAGGGACTTGCGGTGAAATCAACATGAAGCAGTTTCCTTATGGGGAGAGTTTCCTCCCTGCCCTGTTATCTAACCATTTGATGACTTCCTGAACGGGATACCGCAGCAGCGTCTCGGACCCAGCTCTGCCACTGCACGGGCTTCGCGGCTCCCGCTCATTGCTTGGAGTTGGACAGCCGCCTGTGGGCACAGTGGTACCGTGTTGGGCTGCTCACCTCGAGGTCGGCAGTTCAAAAACCACCAGCCGCTCTGTGGGAGAAAGATGAGGCTTTCCACTCCATAAAGCGCTCCTGCCTGGGAAACCCACCGGGCAGGGCGCTGTGAGTTGGCATCGACTCGTTGGCTGTGAGTTTGGAAAGGATTCTGAAAAGCCGAGCGTTTTCTAGAGACAAATTTACTTATTGTTCATCGCCGGCGTCTGTTGTTAACTTCTTATGAGCAGAGAAGCAGCACTGCCTTGGCCGGCTCAGCGTTTCTCACGGACGTTTCAGAGCGCAGTCACTGTGTAGCCGTCCTCGGTTGCCTGGCCATGTTTTCCATCCCCGTCAGCTGCCTCCGAGTCTTGTCTTCAGGGCTCCAGGGGGGGCAGCGTTGAAATGAGGCGCCTCCCACGAGCATGTTTTCTTTCACAGGTGAGGTACCTCATGGAGAAGACCATGCAGAAGATCCTGTCCTTGCTGGTGACGTCCGAGGCCGAGCTGGAGCACGCCCTGTCCATGCGGGCGGAGCTCACACAGTACGACTGCTACCAGGAGGCCGCCATGTACTTCCGGACACACTGCTTCAACTGGCACTCCTCTACGGTGAGCCCAGAACGACCTGCCGCCCCCACCCCTCTGCAGCCCCTGGGCCTGGCCTCCACGGGGCTCACAGGTCATCGATTCCTCAGGGAAGTCCTGGGAGTGGGCGGTCCTAACTGACCAACCCATCACTCTCACCGCTGTTCAGGAGGCCAGGAGTTCAAGGTCAGGGTCGGCTCTGAGCAGGACAGTCTGGTTCCTCGCACTCTCCCAGTGGCGGGGCACCTGACTTTCTCGCGTGTGCTTCTGGTTTCTGTGCCTGGTCCGCTCCTTTTAGACCCCCAAAGTGATTGCCTGACAGCACACCATGCCCCACGTGGCCTGGGCAGCGTAAAGAAAGCCCTGTGCCCAGACAGGAGGGCGTCTGCTTGTGTATGGATTCAAATTCCACACCTACTATGGGGAGTCGCGGGTCAGTCCAGAACAGCCTCCTTGTAGACGGCTGAGGTCCACTCGGCGAGCGATGAGAACTGTGTTTGGAGGCTATTGGTGGCGTGTGGGGAAGGGCTGTCCACATCCACTGGACCTAAGTCCCGGCCCCAGGACTGGGTGGTTCTGCGGGTGGGACAGCAGGCCGAGTGTGTGGTTCAGCCCCCAGCCCTGTCCTGCTGGCTTCTCTTCACGCCCAAGTCTCTCCCTGCCAAGCCCTTAGCACTAGCGTCCCTCCTCCACCAGCCACCATGCTTTCCACGCCAACCCCTCCCCAAGGTCCCACCTCGGGGGTTGCAGATGGTCACGCCCGGGGGTCACTCGGAGGCCTCTGCTGACTGCCAGGGCTTGCTCTGCTCCATCTGGAGCCCGCCCTCAAAGCCACCAGCCACCTGTCGCTCTAGATGCAGGCGGCCCTGACTTCCGCCGCATCTGAGTTACAGGGAACTGCCTGTCCTTGTGTCACATCGTTGTTTTACGTCCCATCGTTGGTCCCGTGCACCACGTGCTGTGCTGCAGCCTGTGATTTGCTGATGTCCATTCTCACGCCAACCCCCAAAGACAGCGACCAGATTTAGAAAGATCTAGATAATCAAACCGCCACCACCGCCGGCACGCTGCTTCCCACAGCAGACCTGTGTGTGTGTTTTTCATGATCGAATCTCTCTGAGGACCCAGAAAGTCTGAGTGTCCATTCTCGTCTCCCATTATGTTTACTTTGAAGTCTAGTTATCGCAGATTGATATTGCCACGCCTGCCGGGTTTTTTGGAGGGGGGGTTGTCATTGGCCTGGTAGATTTTTGCCATCCTTTGACGGCTTTTGTCTGTGAGTGTGAGGTGTGTCTCTTGAAGGCAGCAGAGGGATGGGTCTTGTTTCCTAATCCAGTCTGCTGCTCTTTGTGTTCTGATGGGTGCACCTGGTCCATTGGCATTCACTGTTACTGGTGACACACATGGATTCGTTGCTGGAGACTGAAACCCTCTATGGGAGCAGACAGCCTCATCTTTCTCCCTCTGAGCCACTGGGGGCGTATGCACGGTCGCCCGAGCTCCGCTCACTACCACCAGGGCTCCTGACTGGTCACAGAAAGGCAGTAATACTGAAAACGGGGTGGGCAAAGTATCCTCCTTATGCCAGACCGACTTAGGATGGAGTGGGGAGCACAGAGTACAGGGTCCCCAGTAGAGTGACGAGCTGACCGAGTGGTGGGCGGCTGCAGTCCCGATTCCATGCTTTTTGGCGCTCTTTCTTCCAGTATGAGTATGCCCTGAGACATCTGTACGTGCTGGTCAACCTCTGTGAGAAGCCCCATCCCATTGACAGGTGAGTGAGTCCACTTTGGCAGGGCATGGGAAGGGTGAGGTATCCTTCACCTGTGTTCTAGATACACCTGCCCTCGGAATCCCGGCGCGCTGGGCCTTCCGTGGTGGTTGGCGGGGTGGGGTGGCTCCATCCGAGCACTTCCTGTTCTGTGCTGGACTGGGCCTGTCAGTCCGTCAGGGTTGGCCCGGCTCGCAAACACTTCCTGCTTGTCTCTTACAGAATCACGGCGGCCATGGACAAAGTGTGCCGGGGTCGCTACTGAAAAGCTGTCTTCGGGACGCTTTTCCGAGTGTGAACACCTCCGCCTAGATTGGGAGACCCACCTTCGATGGAAGAGGTGGCGCAGGAAGAGCCCCCTCCCGCCTGCCCCCAGCCCTCCTGGAGAATGCAGTTGGGCCCCGCTCTCTCCCCAGGTGGCTTGCTCACCTTAAATTGTATGCCCAGCCATGCTACCGGTCATGCATGACGCTCTGGACAACGACCCACCTGGGTGGGGACAGCTCTTGGCGGAGAAGCACACCGGCCTTTGAGGAGGCTCTGTGACTTGACCCGTTCGAAGGAGAAAGACGGTTACTTTGGGTTCCTGTCACCGGTGGAAGGAAGCGTCTTTGCTCCAAGAAAGCACAGAGAGGCGAGGGTGTTCCTGAAACCGGAGCAGAATCAATGTATGGAAGAGGGTCCTGCGCCCCCCGTGGAAACCTACTTTTAGAAAAGATGATTTATGATTGTGATTGCTTTTGTATCTTAGTCTACAATAATGGACAAGCCTTGAACAAATAAAGATTGGTCACTGAGCCCAGGGATTCCTGAGGCTGGTGTTGTGTCTGCCTCCTCCCCTGTCTGACGACTGCGCCACTCGGGGGCTCGGGCTCTCTGTACCATGAGGGCTTGTCAGCCTCCAGGCCGTGCTGCCTGCTGCCCCTCGGCCCTGCCGAGCCCTCCCTACTCCTCCCTCCATGCTCAACACTTTGCTCAGCTTATTTCTGAATGTCCCTCGATTTCCCACTTCCCCCTGCCCCTCATTGGGTCTGGTACAGCATGTGGGCACTCCTCCTTACACCCCTGGGCAGCAGGGCCCTTTGGTGGCCTTGTTTCTTTCGCCCCAGAGCTGTACACAGGGAGAGTTGCCCATGTTACATCTCTGCAGTGGAATTTTGTTTGGCAATAATAAAGACGCAGTTCTGCTATGACCCAGACGCACCCTGGAACCATCATGCCGAGTGAAAGAAATCACTGCCATCCAGATGATGCCGCCCCAGAGGGACTCCTTGGACACAGGAGAACTGCTTCTACTGGAAGTCTTTACTACGGGGCCGACAGCCTCTGCTTTCTCCTGCGGAGCGCTTGTGGGGTGTGAACACCTTGACCTTGACTTACCTTGCAGAGCCACTGGGGCTCCAGTCACAGGACGGCATAGGATACTAGGGGGGCGCTTCACAAAGTCGATAACAAAATGAAAGATGATGGCATTTTCCACGAACTTCGTGAAGCCACCTCATAATGTAGCCAAACCAGCTTGCACAGGCACCTTTTACACAGAAAACATCCGTGATAGCCAGGGACCAGAGCTGGCCTGACTGGCTTGGGTTCCCTCAGCGCCGGTGGGCTGGGCGGAGGTGGGTGAGCAGGTGGAAGGATGGCCTGCGGATGCAGTTCTGTGAGCCTCAGCCAGTGTAAACCCAAGTTTTAGAGGCACGTGTGTGTGTGTGTGTGTGTGTGTGTGTGTGTGTGTGTGTAGGGAGGGCTTTCTAGTTAACAGTTTCATTTGGGGATGAAAATGCTCTAAACTTGATAGTGGTACTCATTGCACATCTCTGAAAATAGAAAACACCATTGCATCATGCGTCTCGAGTAGTGAATTGCAGGTATGTGCATGGTATCTCAATACAGCTTTTTTTTAATAAAGCTATTATAAACGATTGCATAGATAGAGAAACGGAACTGTTTGGTTCTAGAGGTTAGCAGCGGGTCTCAGGCCTCCAGTAAATGACAAGGCTCCTCATTCACAAAGTTTAGACCTTGTGTGAGGTTTGCAGGCCTCTGGTAGCAGCAAGCACTAATTTCTCACACTCTGCCACTGTCTGCTGTTAAAAGCTAGTATGGCTGGTTGACCTGGTTAGGTGTGTCCCATAGACCACCTGCACTCTTTAATCTGCCATCCCTAATCTGCAAACGTGCTTCAGACACCAGAGCTACAAGGGACAGACATTCAGAGAAACAGCCCTTCCCTTCCGCCCCCAGAAACCTCAAATGTCACACTGGTTCTCATCCGTCGAGCCTGTCTGGAGCTTTGCAGAAAACCAAAATCAGTCACCGCCAACCTGACCCCAAAAGTTAAGAGTTTATTTGGTGTTCAGTGAAAGTTAGGGTGCAAATTAGGTTCCTACTTAAACAATCTCTACACGAGTTCTTCAATGACAGTAGCTACCTGTCCCATGGCGGCCACTGCCTCATGACGTGCCCTGCTGGTTCTGTCCGCAGTACTCATTTCCCTCGTGGTGGTTAGGTGCCATTGAGCCCGTCCCAGTGCGCAATAGCACAAAACACTGCCTGGTTCTCTGCCATCCTCAGGGTTGTTGGCCCTTTTGACTCTGCTGTCGCAGCCACTGTGCCAATCCGTCTCGTTGAGGATCTTATTTTTCACCGCGCCTCTATTTTGCCAAGCAAGATGCCCTTCCCCAGGGCCTGGCCCTTTCTCGCAACGTGTGACTTGCAGTCTTACCATCCTTGCTTCTGAGGAGCATCCTGACTGTGCTTCCAAGACAGATCTGATCCTTTTCCCAGCAGCCCATGGCGTGTTCAGTATTCTTTACCAGCCCCGTGACTCAAGGGCATGGACTCTTCAGCCTTCCCGACTCATGGTCCAGCTGTAGCATGCCTGCTGCGAGGCCCTTGAGAACAGCAGAGCTTGGATCAGGCACACTGTAGTCCTTAAAGTGACATCTTTGCTTTTGATACTTTGAATCCGAGATCTTAGGCTGTAGATTTCCCCAATGCAATATGTTGTTTGATTTCTTGATTGGTGCTTCCGTGGGCATTGACTATGGATCTAAGTCAAAGTGGAATCTTTGGCAGCGTCCATCTTCTCTCCACTTGTCATGATGCTGTTGATCGGTCCAGTTGTGAGGAGTTTTGTTTTGATGTTGAGAGGTGCAGTCCACGGTGAAGGTGGTCGTCTGTGATCTGCAGTAAGAGTTACCTCTTCTGTTTCGGCGTGCCAAGTTGTGTCATCTACATACTGAAGATTGTTAGTGAGTCTTCCTCCAATGCTGAGACCACACCCATCGTATTGTCCAGCTTCTCAAATCGTTTGTTCAACATACAGATTGAATACGTACAGTGAACGGAGACAGCTCTGACTCGCCCTGCCCTGATTTTAAACCATGCAGTGTCTTCTTTTTGATGGCTGCCTCTTGGTTTTTATTTATTTGTTTTACTGGAGCACCATACCCATGTGTAAGATCTCTTATATGCCAGTTCTCCATTCGCCCAGTGAGCTAGGCGTTGGGCTGCTAACTACAAGGTCATTGGTTCAAACCCATCAAGCTACTCCGTGGAAGAAGGATGCGGCTGTCAGGTCCTCTAAAGATGTTGTTGGGAGGTGCCATCATGCACAACAGAAGGAGACACTGCCCGGCCCTGCACTGTCCTGACCACTGTTCCTGTGCCTGAGCCGCAATGTCCATCCGTCTCCTGGAGGGCCTTCCCCTTCTTCGGTACCCTTCCACTTGACCAAGAAGATGCCCTTCTCCAGGGACTGATCTGCCAACATGTCCCAAGTATGTAAGACCGTCTCGCTCGCCATCCTAGCCTCTAAGGAGCATGCTGGCTGTGTTTCTTCCAAGATGGATCTGTTTAACTTTTTAGCAGTCCAGGGTACTTGGAATATTCTTCTCCAGCGCCACAATTCAAATGCTTCAATTCTTCAGTCTTCTTTATTCAAAGTCCAACTCTCACATGCATACGAGGCAATGGGAAATACCATGGCTTGGGTCATGTCTCAAAAAGTTTGCTTTTCAACATTCTAAAGAGGTCTTGTGCAGCAGGCTGACTGAATGCAACTCATCTTTTGATCTCTTGGCCGCAGCTTCCATGAGCATGGCTTGTGGATCCAAGCCAGACCAATTCCTTGACAACTTGAAGCTCTTCTCCATTGATCATGAAGTTACCTATTGGTCCAGTTGTGAGGATTTTGGTTTTCTTTACATTAAGTTGTAATTTGTACTGAAGACTGCAATCCTTGAACGTTATCAGCATGTGTTTCAAGGCCTTGCTTTCAGCGAGCAAAGATGTGTCACCTGCACAGCACAAGTTGTTAATAAGCCTTCCTCCAGTCCTAACACCCCTTTCTTCTTCACGTGACTGAACTTCCCTCTTCCTTTGACTTTGCATCAAAGATTACAGCCTCGGAAACCCCACATTGGGGGGCGGGCGATGAGTTGGAATCGACTCAAGAGCTGTTTTGTTTTTTTAAAATTATGTCTATGTTCTAATTCTACTTTTTTTTTTTTACCTTTCTATTACAAAATTGAAATAGAATGCTGAAAGTACCAACGACTGCCAGAAGATCGAACAAATCTGTCTTGAAAGAAGTACGGCCAGAGGGCCTTTTAGAACGCAGGATAGCAAGAGTCAGTCTTAGATCCTTTTGATCTGTTGTCAGCAGACGCCGGGCATTGTGCTTGGTAAAGGCACCTTGCTTGGTAAAGAAGAGGGGCGCCAAAAAAGAGGAAGACCCTCAAGGAGATGGGTTGACACGTGCGCTCAAACATAGAAACAAGCGTAACAGCCGCGGACGCAAACAGCGATTGTGAGCTGGGCTTAGGACCAGGTGGTGGCTCGTTCTGTTGTACAGGGTCGTTAGGAGTTGGGACTGACTTGGAGGCACCCAACGGCATTGTAGACGACAACCAAAGAAAACAGTTTGCTCAGTGACATGGAAAGGTGGATTGTCTCTACCAGCCAGGTCAAGAAGTGATCTCAGCCGCTCTAGAAGGACCACCCTCATCTGCATCCCAGTAGCAGCCCCAATCCCTAAGAGTCACCCCGCCCCCGGGTTCCTGGTGATGTGGGTGTCACTCAGGTGTGCATTCCTGAGCACTGGTGTTAAGTCAAGAGAATGTCTGAGTTCTCTTTCCCCTACAATCAGTCCCCGGTGCAGAACCCAGCCGTGTCTGCCGCTGAGCTCTCAGTGTGGGTTTTGCAGTTGTGGTGGTGGTGGGGGGTTGGGGGGCCCAGTTCATATCCTCGGACCACCCAGCAGCTGATTACAGAGGCTGGGGCTGACTTTGGTCTGCAACCTTTGGCAAGTGTGTAGATGCTGGGGTGTCCTTTACTCAGAGCCTTGGTGGTGCGGTCCTTAAAGTACTCAACTGCCAGCCGGAAGTTTGGTGGTTCAAACCCACCTGCTGCTCCTTGCAGGAAAGATCATGCAGCCTGGTGAGGAGGTACAGTCTTGGGAACCCTGCGAAACCAGTCTACTCCGTGCCCAGGGCCAGTGCAAACCGGCCTCCACTCCAGGGCAGTGGGTCTGGGTCGGGGCTCAGTGTCTTTGACCCAAGGAGATTCGGTGGCATAGTAGTCACGCCTTGGGCTGCTAAGTGCCTGGTCACCAGTTCAAGACCATCAGCAACTCACTGCTTCCCTTTCATCCTCAGAACGTGACCTATGCCTCTCCAAAATGTCCTTATGAACTCAGGGCTTTGAACTTCCCTGGCCCAGTTCCAATCCACTGCGCCCTCATTGAAACCTAGATGGTCCATCTCAGGCCAGTGCACCCCTCCGGGCTGGTTCTCAATCCCTTTTTACCGGCGGGGGTGGGGTGGGGGTGGGGGTGGGGGTGAGGCATTGAGCCGGATGGTTTCTTTGTCTTCTGGCATCTCAGATGCCCCACTGTCCTTGCGTGCATCCAGCCTCTAGAAGCTGGGAGCAGTTCTAGCTCCAGGGAACCTGCACCTCCTCCAATGGCAAGTGATAGTTCTAACCAGGCACATCACTCCCCTGTCCCTAAACTGACTTAACTAAAGGCTTGTGTTCCCCTGTCAGTGGAGCCTGGGTGGCACAGTGGGTTAAGCGTTAGACCACTCACCGCAAGGTCAGCAGTTCAAATCCTCCATTATGACAGAGTGGACCTGTGGTAGTTACATAATCTAGTGTTAACTTGAGAGGATTATGAGTGAAGGGGTGGAGTCTGGTCTGTCAATCAAGATATAACTAATGAGGCCTCTGTGTGGGCATGGCCTTCTGAGAATTGTGGGAACTCCTGGATTTCCTCCTTGGAGGTGGGAGACATTCTCTCTCTCTACTCACTCCCTGGGAGAATCTCTACTGACAGGCTGACTCCTGCGAGGCATCCCTGAGGAGAAGCCACATGGACCTACCCTGATGCAGCCAGAACCATGGACCTGGAGAAGCCACGTGGAGACCCTGCCAGTGCTGAGATGCTTACAATGCCGCTGGATCCACAAGACTTCCCACCCACCGGCCTGTGATCCTCCTGCATTTGGCATCATTGCATATGTTTTGAGAGCGTGAAGAGGACTTTATAGATTGGTATAGGACATATGGGCTATTAACAGATTTAGGGACTTGATGTGGACTGGGCTGGGATGTTTTCTTAATGTTCTTGTATATAAACCTCTTCTTTATACACATGTGCATGTTTATGAATTTGTTTCTCTAGTCTACCCAAACTAACACAGGAACTCAAAACTCACTGCCTTCAAGTTCATTCTGGCTCAGTCACCCCGCAGGACAGGGTCGAACTGCCCCTGTGGGGTTACAAGACTGTAACTCTTTAGGGGAGTAGATCTTCCCTGCCGTGTGACATTCCTTTACCTTCCCAGTCACTGGAAAACGCAGTCCTCTGCCCGGAAAAGAGATACATTGTCTCTTGTTAGTTCCAAGGCCGTTTGCTATGGAAATGTGCCGAACACGGTAAACCCAGACAACTCGCTGCCACCGAGCCCATGCCGACTCCTAGTGGCCCTGATGCCCCAGCCAGGAGCTCATGCCGCTTCTCAGGGCTCCCCACCCCGGCCCCCTGACCACACACCTTTTTTGGTTTTACCTTCTCATTGTGATTTGGGTGAGAGTTCACAGAGCAAATTGGTTTTCCATCCCCAAGTTTGCACACATTTTGTTTCGTGGCATCGATCGGAATCGCCGCGTGGCTCTTCCCACGGCCTCCTGGGTCAACTGTTGCCATTCACCCTTCTTTCCTGCCCCCTGAGCATCATCCCCCCGCCCCCTTCCGGGCAATCACTGCTCTTCTGAGCTTGTCTGGTGGCTCCCAGGAGTGCCGGCCTCCCTGTTTTTGTTTTTTGTCTCATGTGGGATCCAGCCCACATCCCGATGGGTCCTAAGAGGACGGTTGTGTAATTGAAGGGAAGATATTAAGAAGCAGACAAAAGTTTTGAGGTGCTCATGGTATCAGGGACCGTGCAGGAAGGAGAGAAAATGTATTCTTCGCCACCTTATACAGTCTCGGGGCTGACATAATGACAGGCAACCACATACGTAACAAAGTGGGCAGTGTCTTAACCCGAGAGGTCCCTGAGTTTATTGGAGGAGTGACCTCACTCCAGTGTGGGGGCAGGTAAGGGGGTGGCTGTCCCCTGAGTGGGGGGAACAGTAGCAGCATGCTGCCAGCCAGATAGCTATCAGCCATGCGCCGGTAAGAGGTAACGTGGTGTAGTACCGTTATGGGAGGACATTGTGGGCATGGTTTTTAATTAGGAGAATGTGACAGGGACGCATCTCTAACTCCGAAGTGTGCAGGCCTCCCTCCACCCAGAATCCTGGCCTCCCCGGTTTCTTAATGATGAGAATAAAGAATTTGACTGCTTACACTCTCTCCCCACTCCTCAGCTCCCTACAGTCTTACAGGCTTGCCTGTCTTTGGCCTGCAAGTTGAGCCCCAGGGTGGAGGTGAGCTCAGTTCCAGGCTTGAAGGGTGACAAAGGGATAAGTCTGTGAGGTTCCACCCGTGTCTAAGTCTGGTCTTTTTAAAAAATAATGCTGGGTTTTGTTCCACGTCCCCCCCTCCCCCCAGGCCCTCTGATAGGATCCCTTTCTGAGGGTAGTCGTCTTAGCGGGGCACCATCTAGTGTGTCTGCTCTCAGAGCTCTGGGGGCTGGCGTGCGTGATTTCATTCGTTCTTTGGACTTGTCATTTCTATGCACCTTCGAGGGTTGTCTCTGCTTGGCTCCGGGCGGGGAGACCAGTTGTTGCAGAGAATCAGGGCCAGTGTGTCCCACAGCCCTGCAGGGCTCCCCGACTCATTCTGCCCACCAGCTCCTCTCCTTTGAGCCCAGTCCAGGCCTCCCCCAGTGGGGAATCATGTCTTCCACAACCCCAGAGACCCCTGGCCTCATCACACTGGTCACCAGACCCACTCTCCTCGAGTCCATTCTGACTCATGGCGACCCCACGGGACAGAGAATTGCTCCTTTGGGTTTCTGAGGTTGTGAATCTTTACATAAGCAGACAGCTTCATCTTTCTCTCTGGGATCGGCAGGTGGGTTTGAACTGTTGACCTTGGGGTTTAGCAGAATGCATACCCCACTCCACCTCCAGGGCTCCAAAACACTAATCACAGGAGGTTGAAATGCCATCCAGGTCAGGCACCCCTCTGCCTGAGCTCCCCTGGCCCACTCTGGACAGACCAATAGGCTGCTTCCAGGTGGGCGCAGTCCAGGGTGCCCAGCTTGACCACGGGGCCCAGCCTGGGGTGCCACTTCCACTTGCCGGCCAGCCCTGCACGCACTCTGGGCGGTGGGCCTCCCCCAGAGTGGTATGGCAGCCCCGAGTTTATTTCCCTTCCCCAAAAGGCTTCCCCTGTGGGCGCCCCACCCCCACCTCGGGCCTCAGTGACCCCTGCAAGGAGGAAAAGAGGAAATGAATGGGATAGTGGCTTGCTGAGGGGGCCGCTGCTTCCTGCTGCAGGCGTGTCCCACACCCACTGCCCTATGACCCTGCAGAGCAGGGGACAGCCGGTGCTGGGGTCTGGCTGGCCGGCTGCATCAGCCTCTGTGCTCCAGATGTGACTACAGGGCAGCTGGGGAGGGGGCTGAGTCACACTGGTCCAGGGCCCCTCCTGTCTGGCCACTGCACGGCAGCTGGTCCTGGCCCAACAGAGGTTTGTCTGTAACAAGAGGCAGCTCGATGGGTCATGTAAGAACCAGGCTTGTCCAGGGCCAGTCTGACTCCGCATGCCTCCCTTTGGGGGTGTCGCAGGGGGCAGTGCGACCAGGCCTGCCCCATCTCTCTGCTTCTCCCAGCCCTGCCAGCTTGGTTTCTGGCTGGGGCAGGGACAGAGGATAGGCGGCAGGTGAGCCTCCCTTTGGACATGCATATGGCTTTGGATTCAGCCCTGGTCATCTGCTGGCATCTGGGGCCCCTGGGCCCACTGGCTCCCCACTTAACTATTAGGGTTCTCTCTGGCAGTCCTCCCCTGGATGCTGTGCAGGCAGGTGAGACTCCGACCCCGAGTCCAGGCCGGCCGACTGCACATTCAGAACCTGCTTTGACCTCTCCAGGCTGTGTGACCTTGGGCAAGTCAGCCACCTCTGTGAGCTGGATGTGCCATCCCTAAACAGCTACTCCAGAGGCGTGGCTACCAGCCAGGCAGCCAGGGCTCTGTGATCTAGTGTGTGAAGGGGCGGTGGGCGTGGGGCACGCCTGCAGCAGGAAGCAGTGGCCCCCTCAGCAGGCCACTATCCCTCTTGTTTCCTCTATCCTCCTTGTAGGGGTCACTGCAGGGGTCCTCATTTGTCCCATCCGCCCCCAGTGGGAAGTGAAAGTGACAAGGTGAGAAATCCCTCAGGTTAGGAGGTCACAGATGGGGGCCAAGGATGGGAGCCACAGATGACCCAGCTGAGGGATAGAAGGGGCAGCACCCCAGGACTGAGAGGCACCCCAGGGCAGTGCAGAGTTTTAGAGGACAGAGCAGGGTGGGATGGGTGAGGGGATGCATTCTTGCCATTTACCAATGGAGATGCTATTTTCAAAAGGGCTTTTATTGAACTGCCCCACAGCACCTCCTGCCCCCAGGGGCAGGGCACTTTCCACAGCCCTGTGGTCCAGGCATGACTCATCCATGTATCCAGATAGTTGGCCTCACTTGGAGGTCCTGGTGTGTGCTGGCTGCTCAGGGGCGGGGGGGGGGGGGCGAGAGGGGATGCTCTGTAGGGGTGCTAAGCACTGGTTGCAGAGGGCAGGCTCCATGCAGGGGGGCTGTCTCCCCAACACACTCCCTGAGATGTGCTCCTGAGTGATTGAAAATATCCCAGCTCCAGCCTGGAGGAGGAGGATGCAGCAGTGGCCAGTCCTGGGGAAACCAAGTGCATGGTCTTCCTCAGGGGGCTGAGGGTGGGGCTGGGCAGAGGGATGGCCATGTGTGAGCAGGGGCAGTGAGGGCTTTGTTTGCTGCACTGGCTGGAGAGTCCCTTTCCTCTCTGGGCTTCCATGTCCCTTTTTGGCTAGTGAAGACATTGGCCTCGGCGGCTCTCAGTGCTATGACTTTCCCTCAGGAAGCATCTTTGGCTGCAGCTTCATTTTTCACAATTGTCCTGGAGGTTGGCCTGTGCTTGCTCAGTGGGTTGTGTGCATGTGTGACGTGTTGGTATCCCTCCTGGGAATGTGTGTGCCCTGTCATATGCACCGGTGTATGTGATCAGATGCAGGGACAAGTACATGTATGAGTGAGCATGGCTGTGGGTGAGTAGCAGGGGTGAGCAAGGGTGAGCCTGTGCCCCACAGCCAGTCTCTGTAACTACTGCCATCAGGTATGGGGCCTCAGAGGAAGTTGGGCTCCCGCACGATGAGGCAGGGAGGACCCTCGCTGCCCCCGCCACCATCCAGGGGCCGGTACACGAAGTGGAAGTCCAGCTTGGGCTCACTCCGAAGCAAATAGCCTTTGATGTGGTGGGGCAGCGCCTCATCCGCCAACTGGAAGCAGCGGCCGTCCACCAGCACAAAGAGCCGGTGATCCTGGGGCTGGGCCACCTCGAACTTCTCGGCACACTGTTCGCACAGTGCCTGGGCTGGGGTGTCTGCCCGAGACGCCAGCGTCCGGGACTGCTGCTCCGGTTCTAGGTAGGACACACAGATGAAGTCCTGCAGGGCGAGAGGGAGGGTCTGTGGTCAATCCTAGGGCTGAGGTGGGGCTGGCCCATTGCACCCTACCCCTGTGCATCCCAGTGGGTGTCCTCGGCGCCCCTCTGCAAAGACTGGAGGTGGAGGGGTGGCTTTGAAGCTGGAACATGGGAGCCCTCTCTGGGCGAGCATCAGAAATGGGCTGATTGACAGTCTGCTTTCAGTCTTTCCATGGAGGAGTGAGCGCTCCCCCTGCTGGCCAAGCCACGGGAGAGTGCCCACCAACCCCAGTCCTGTTCCACACAGAGCCCCCTGGCCCTCCAGGGGCAAGGCAGAGTGTGGAAGGGGGTGTGAGTAAAGTGGAGGCGTAGACCCCACCCTCAGTACCCCACAGTTCAGTCCCTTGGAAGCTCAGAACAGGCAAGTGGGGGTGGACAGGAAGGAAGTGGGGTTAGCAGCAAGGAGGGCCCTAAGAGTAAGGGGAGGCCAGGGGGCTGGAGTGTCCACACACTAGCTCTGACCTCCAGCAGCCCTGCCCCTTCCTCCACCTACCAGGTGCCCTGGTGGCCAAGTGAGTGATGAGCTGGGTGTCACTGCAAAGCCACCGCTTTCCGGGAGAAAGGAGACTGTCAGCAGGGGTGCTTCTACCCTGTCCTATGGGGTCAATATGAGTTGGGGTGTTTTGGTTTTCCTTGTTCCCGCTGAACCTCCATTTCCTGGGTCAGAAACAGGGCTGATGAGTCAGTCCTATGGCGTGCCTGTTGAAACCTACATCAAACCGGGCACACAGCCTACAACATGGCCCTTAGCCTTTGCCCAACACCTGCAGGCAGGTCCATCCCAAATGGTGTGTGCCTGGGCGGGCTGCCCCCTGGTGGAAGGATTGATAACAGCAAGCTGGACCGAGCTCCAGGTCTGTCTCCCATAATTCGCCCACAGCTGGGCAGTGGCGCAGTGGTTACCCATTGGGCTGGTAACCACTAGGGCAGCAGTTTGAAACTACCAGCCACTCTGCGGGGATAAATATGGGGATTTCTACTCCCAGAGAGAGTGACCGTCTCCAAAATTCACAGGGGCAGTTCTACCCTTACAGGGGTGCTGTTAGTTGGCATCTACTTGATGGCATTGAGTTGCTTTTGGAGTTTGATGCTGGCTATATGACCCTGGTGGCACAGTGGGCTATGCGTTGGGCTACTAGCCACAGAGTCCTCAGTTTGAACCCATCAGCCGCTCCACGGGAGAACTTTCTGCTCCCCTAACAGTTGATAACATCAAAAACCCACCCTAAGGCTGACTGTTCCTGTAAAGACTTACAGCCTCGGACACCTAGGCTCTAGGGTCAGTATGGGCTGGAACTGGCTCGATGGCAGTGACTTCTAAAATCTGTTTGTTTTGTTTTGGCACCTGCTGGGGGCTGTGAGGCTTTGGGGTTCTGGGGTGTGGGTGGAGGGGAGGCCCTGCGAAGGTGCAGAGGAGACTCCAGAAGGAGCACTATAAAGGCACTGAGTGTGGCTCACCTCCCCCCCACCCCCCAAGTGCACTTGCCTCAGATTCACCTCCCTGTGCAGCTGCCTGACAGCACTTTCAAGAAGGGGAACATGTGCCAGGCTGGGATCCAGAGTGCCCATGCTCTCAGAGTTTGGGGAGGGGCAGACTGGGAGGGGCTGGGGGTCAGCTTGGCAGCGTAAAACCTATCGAAGGCCGAATCCATTTGGTTCGCAGCCTGTAGACAAACAGGCCAAGGAAGGGGAGAGCACTTTTTCAGGGCCACCCGGCAAGATAGCACCGACCTAGACCCAAAGCTCGGGCCTCCTTCCTCACAGGCCTGGGCTATGGCCATGCAGGAGCAGGCTTCTGACTGGATGCTCCTGGCCTGGAATGCTGGTTTCACACTCTTTGCCCCAGCCGGAGCTCGGGGCCTGGCAAGTGAGGCATAGCCAATCTCCTGGAGGAGACCCCTGCATACGCGTGGCATGCCCACTCCGGCAGGGAGCCTCAGGAGGGTGGAGAACTGGGCCATCGCCCAGGAGGGGCCTATGGCAGCTAGAGAAGGGCCGTGGGGAATCAGGAGTAGGGTTTGATAGAACGGGGTGTGGGCTGATGGGGATGGAGAAGAAAGCGCAGGAGTCTGGCCCGGAATGAGCTTGTAGGGAGAGAGAGGAACTCCTGATTGGTGCACAAGGTTAATTGGCTGGATCAGAAGCGCCGCGGAGGCAAGGCCTGGTGGCTGCGATGGCCATGATTTGCAGTAGAGTCAATGGCGGCGGTATTAGAGGGGTTGGGGACTAGGTGGGTGCTGGACTGCAGGGGCAAGCTAGCAGGGGCAGAGAGGGCCAGCAGGGCTGAACTGTCCATACTTTCCCTGCCCCCCCGCAGAGCTGGGTAACATTGCCTGGGGAGGGGCGTCTTCTACCGGGGCAGGGGCAGAGCTGGTGGCCAGAGCAGCGGCTCCTGGGCCAGCGGGCTGGCAGCTCGGGGGACATATGTTGTCGAGGCCCCGGGTCACCTGCACGGAAGAGCGGGAGGCGCGCGCCTTGTTGAGCGTGCGCCGGCGCTCCCAGCGGTGGATGGAGTCCTGCACCTCCACGCTCAGCTGCCGGGTCACTGTGATCTTGTCGTAGTTTTTAATGTGCTCCAGGGCCCCGTAGGTGGTGGTCAAGTAGTAGGAACCTGCAGGGGCAAGGACGTGGAGGTCGAGTGAGGACCTAGAGGGAGCTGGTGCCAGCGGGGGCCCCTTTCTCTCCCGCTTTGTCCTCCCGGAGGACAGATACGGCCAGCCCCGCCCACCACCAGCCACGCCCACGACCCCTGTAAGCCCCACCCACCTTCACTGTCCAGTGCCTTCAGTCTCCACCCACTCCGCCTCCATCCCGCCCCGCCCACCCCTCTAAGCTCCACCCCCACCCCGACCCTCCGCCCGCGGTCTCCAACCTCGAAGTTGCCACCCTGCAGGCCTCCTACTGATGAGTGTCCGTCTAGCCCCGTGTCCACCCGCAGCCTCAGGGAGCTACCTGGACCCTCACCGCCGGCCACCGGTTTGACCCTACTGGTTTTTGCATGCGGCTGGACTTCCTGCTTCATTTGAAAACGATGTAAAGTGCACAGACAGTGTTTGGAAGGAGGCAGGGTTGTCGTTCAAACACGCAGTGGTTCATTCCAAACAAAATGTGCTTACACCGGAAACACTGGCTTCCGGGGGATCTGCTGGGCCAGTTCATTTCAAGGCAGAGAGGGCAGCTCAGGTTACCCCACAGTTCCTTGGAATTGCAAAAGGGGCCTCTTGATAGACTTTCTCCAAGGACAAGGGCGATGGGGCGGGGCTTATTATGAAAACGTTTCAAGAAGATGGAAAATCGCCTTGGCGAGGAAAAGGTCAGGAACGTTGCACTGAGGAATTATTAATACATTTTCCCATCACCACCACGCACCTGCTCATCCTTTGAGGGAAGCAAGGTCTCTTTGTACAAGACTTTTGTTGAGAAACTTTACTGGTTCCTCAGAAAGCCTCCATCTTGCCCCTTCAGACAATGCTTTTTCGTTTCCCAAGCTCAAAGAATATTTGAACGGAAAACGATTTATCTCTCTCACAGAAGCCGCTGTTTTGATCGGACTTTTAATTTTTTGACGCCCCCCAGGACAAGAGTTTTACAGAGAGAACTTGTCTGCAGCCCTCTGCTGATGGCGGAGACATGTTTCAGAAGCTTAGTCTGGAGTAAAGGCATGCGGGATGACCTGGAGCACTGGAAACAGTACTTTTGGACGCTCCCTCTCCTACAACCAGCATGCTCCGTAGGAGCCAGGATGGAGAGTCTTTGGACACATCACCAGGAAAGACCCGTCGGGAGAAAAGGACATCACGTTTGAGACGGTAGAAACCTGTCCTGACCAAACCCACTGCCATCAAGCTGATGTCAATGTACAGAGACCCCATAGGACAGAGCAGAACTGTTCCCGTGGGTGTCCAGAGCTGTAATCTTGCACACAGCCTCCTCTTGTGCAGGGGCTGGTGGATGTGAACTGCCATCCTTTGGATTAGCAGCCGAGCACTTAACCACTGGGCAAAGGAGAGGGTTAGCAAAATTGAGGGGAACGCTCAATGAGACAGATGGACCTAACACCCCCCAGAACGTGCTCAAACAGATCAATGTTCTGAGGATGGTGGCGGACGGGGCAACGCTTGGTTCAGTTAGAGGAAGGCCTTCATGAGTCAAAACCCAGTCTACCACAGCCTGCAACATATTTTTGTACCTTAAGATTTTGATCCTTGTTAGTGAACTATTTTTATAAATCATTTTATTGGGGGCTCATATAACTCTTTCTTTTTTGCTCTTACAGCTCTTATCACAATCCATCCATCCATGTGTCAAGCACATTTGTACATCTGTTGCCATTATAATTCTCAAAGCTTTTTCTTTCTATTTTGGCCATTGGTATCAGCTCATTTCCCCTCTTCACCCCTCCCTCCCTCAAGAACCTTTGATAATTTATAATTTTTTTTTCATGTCTTACTCTGACCGATGTCTCCCTTCATCCACTTTTCTGTTGCCCGTCCCCCTGGGAGGGGGTTATATGGAGATTATTGTGATTGGTCCCCCCTTTCTCCCTCCACCTTACCCTTCCCGCCCTGGTATGCTACTCTCATTATTGTCCTGGATTCCCTGTGTGTCCAGCTCTTATCTGTACCAGTGTACATGCTTTGGCCTAGGTAGAATTGGGGTCATGATAGTGTGGGGAAAGGAAGCATTAAAGAATAGAGGGAACAAAAAAAAAAGGAAAGTTGTATGTTTCATCAGTGCTACAGTGCACCCTGACTGGCTCATCTCTTCCTTGTGACCCTTCTGTAAGGGGATGTACAATTGTTTACAGGTGGGCTTTGGGTCTCTACTCCATGTTCCCCCTCATTCACATTGATAAGATTTTTTTGTTCTGGGTCTTTGATGCCTGATACCTTATACCATTGATCCCTCATAATCACATAGGCTGTGTGCTTCTTCCACGTGGGCTTTGTTGCTTCTCAGCTAGATGGCCCCTTGTTTATCTTCAAGCCTTTAAGACCCCAGACGTTAAATCTTTTGATAGCCGGGCACCATCAGCTTTCTTCAACACATTTGCTTATGCACCCGCTTTGTCTTCAGTGGTTGTGTGGGGAAGGTGAGCATCACAGAATGCCAGGTTATTAGAACAAAGTGTTCTTGCATTGAGGGAGGACTTGAGTAGAGGCCCAATGTCCATCTGCTACCTTAATACTAAACCTATAAATATATGTACATAGAGCTATTTCCCTATCGTCATATATAAATATATTTACATATATACATGCCTGTATTTAGACCTCTATAGCTGTCCATTGCCTCCTAGTTCTTTCCTCTATTTCCTTTTACTTTCGTCTTGCCCCACTATCATGTTCTGCCTTCATTCGGGTTTCAGTAATTCCTCTTAGCTACATTGCCCTTGATCAAGCCCCACCAGGCATCCTATGCTGTCCTTGGCATTGATTTTAGATCATTAGTGAACTATTTAGAAAAAAATCCATTAAACCAACAACAACAAACTCTGTTGTAGGAGAAATTTTAGGAGCAACGAGCGTGAGACCTTGTCTCTGGTACTTTAGACATGTTGTCAGGAGAGACCAGTTTGGCAAACTGGTAGAGGGGCAGTGAAAAAAGAGGAAGGCCTCTGGGGGTGGGTTGGCACAGCGACTAACGAGGGGCTCCAAGCTAACGACCGTTGGGAGGTGGCGCAGGCTTGGCGGTGCTTCCTTCTGTTGTGCACACGGCCCCCAGTCAGAGCCGGCTCAATGGAGCCCAGCAGCAGCAGCATTAGAGCCACGTTAATTACTTAGTGTGAAAAATATAGTTTAAAAAGCTGATACAGGAGCCTTTTTAGTCTGAGTGACATTACACCACATGTTATTTTTCTGAACGAGTAACAGAGGCGAGGGCATTGAGCCATTCCTTTCTCCAGTTCCTTTCTCCTTGAGCGAGTTGACGTGTATTTTTAATCGCTGATGTTTTCTAAGTAAAGTCAGCTTTGAGCTGCTTCAGAATGCAAAATGTACATGATGTTTTAAGACAAAAGATGGTTTGAAAACGATATGGCAACACATGTACAAATGTGCTTGACACAATGGATAGATGGATGGATTGTGATAAAGGCTGTACAAGCCCCCAATAAAATGATTTAAAAAAATGACGTCCATAAACAAATATATAAAAAATGGATGATGTAAGGAACTTTTAGAATTACTTGGGGGCTTCCAAGTTCACTTCCCTTAAACTTGCCAGGAGCTTTGGTTAAGATATCTGAAGAGCCATAAAAGGCAGATCCCCGTTGGTGGGGGTGGGGTGGGGTGGGAGGTATAAGGGCCCGGAATAAAGTAGCTGCACTTGATATTTATAAACACTCGATTCCTCCATGCTTTCTAATAACAACAATATAAGAGGGAAGGAAGAAATTAGGGCAATTGAAGTATAAAATTAAAAAAAATGTTTATCCAACTATTTTACAAAAAAAAAAAAAGAAAGAAAAGCTCACCTACTAACAGACAGAGTATCTCTGGAAAGTAGGCTCTCAACCAGGACCGAATAACCAAAATAGATATAAAACTCAGGGAACAATGACTGGATATAAAACCCAATCACAAACGGGCAAGCCATGGCTAGACAGTCCCCCCAAGAGGCCACTCAAAGGTGGCCAGTGCTCTTGCTCTACCACCCAACCCAACCCAACCCAACTCAACCCAACTCATTGCCATTCTGTCGATGCCGACCCATAGCCACCCTGTAGGACAGAGTAGAACTGCCCCTGTGGGTTTCCGGGACTGTGACTCTACACGGGAGTTGGAAGCCAGAGTGGCTGGTAGTTTTGAACTGCTAACCTTGTGGTAGCAGCCCAGTGCTTACCCCCACCCCATCACCAGAGCTCCTCACTATCCTCAGAGAGATGCAAGTCTAACTCACCTTGAGAGACTGAGTCACTCCCAGTGTTTGACAAAGAAAGAAAAGATATTGACAAGGATGTGGGGAAATGGGAACCCCAATTCATTTTTTTGGGAAAAACCCCGGGAGAGTTGATGTGGAAAACAGTGCAGTGGGTCCTTAAAAAAACCGGAAATGAGAACTACCAGCCGGCCCAGCATTTCGACTCCTAGATACAAGCCCCAGAGACCTGAACACAGACCGGAAAGGAGGCTTGTACACTAATGTCCACCCTGCCTCAGTGTCCGCATCTACAAAGCTCGCATGGTTGCTGTGAAAAACAAACCAACCAACGAACAGCAAAAAAATAATTGTGTGAATACTTGTCAGTTTCAGTGTCCAGTCACCGGAGTGCCTGGGGGCACCTAGGGGAGGCTCATGCCAAAGGGATGGAGCTCCAAACCTTGGTCACCCACCCACTCAGGCCCAGACTTCCCTGGGACCCAGGGTCACGCTATTCCTTTCATGACCACTAGGTGGCAGGCGACGCCATGGGAACGTTTAAAGCCTGTTTTCTTTGGGCAAGAGGGTGCTACACAAACCGCCAAACCCAAACTCACTGCCATTGGGTGGATTCGTAGCGACCCTGGAGGGCAGGGTAGAATGCCCTGTGCGGGGTTCTTACGGCGGTAGAGAGCATTCTCTGCCCCCCCCCCCCCGCCCCCCGCAGGCTGGCGGCTTCGTAGGGATTGAATAAACCCACTGTTCCTGGTAAGACAGTGGGGAAGGGGCCACCGGGCATTTCTGGGGGATTTTGAGATGCCTGGGCCATAATTAACAGCCCTCAAGGGCAGTTCTGTCCTGTCCTATAGGGTCGCCGTGAGTTGGAATCAACTCCATGGCAGCGAGTGGGTGGGCGTCCCACGATTAGGAGCCCTGGTGCATAGTGGGTTAAGCATTGGGCTGCTAACTCCAATGTTGATGGTTCAAGGCCACCAGCTGCTCCTCGGGAGAATGATGAGGCTCCTGTAAAGATGGACAGTCTCAGAAGTCTCAGGGTCCAGGACCACTATGAGCCAGAAGTGACTCGTTGGCTGAGGCTTTAGTGGCCTCGTGATCGCTGGAGACCCTTCAGGTCACCAGCTTTGCTGAAACCTGTTCAGAATCTTAGCCACACACAAGCCTCCATTGACAGGCACGTGGGGGTGGGGGGAGGGGGCTGCCCACCAGGTGCAGTGGCCAGGAATCAAACTTGGGTCTCCTCCCACTGACCCCCTGCCAGATTTCCTACCCAAACCCCAAGAGCTGATGGGAATAGGAAGAAGGATCCCAGGAGGCTGGAGGTGGGAGCAGGGGACCCATGAAGCAAGGACAAGGATCTTCTAACAGGACTCCTTCACTGGCAGCCCACTCGCCCCACTCGTACCAGCCGCGCAAGCTGGTCGGGGGACGCGGGCAACACTGCGAGAAGGGATGCTTTCAGCTCAGGCCGCCTGCTCATCTGCTGGCAGGCGCCTTCGCTCCCATCCCATCGCCCTGCACAGCAGCCCACCCCTTCCTTCCCAACAGGAAGTCACCTCGATCGCTTGACACGTTTGTGGTCTGACACCCCACACTCAGAAAAGGGGACTTGCCTTCACCTGGCATGTAGCGGGAGCCTAGTGAGTCCCTGCCTAGCAGACAGCCATCACCCAGGTGCCTGTTAAAGCGGTGGGTGTGTTTCTTATTGATTTCTAACAGATGTTTATATAGTAAGGCTCTTAATTCCAGGTGTGCCTGCCTGTGGGAAGCCTGCCTTGCCCACTTAACCCTTGCATCTCAATCTGTTCATGGTCATTTTGGATGCATAACGTTGTAATCTATTACATGTATGTGGGTGGCAGTCGCAGGACCTCCCCCCACCCCCACATGCCTGTCAATGGAGGCTTGTGTGTGGCTAAGATTCTGAACAGGTTTCAGCAAAGCTGATGGGGGACTGGGAGGGATGATAGGCCTCTCGGGGGCTCGTCTTAGCAAACAAGAGTGTTCGGGGACAGGACGCTGATTCTGCTCACAGTACCTCCTTGGTCCTCCTGTGCACTCTTCTCCATTGCTTGCTATTTCCTCCCTCAGCCCAGCCAGGCTGTGGTTAGAGGACCAGGCCAGACAGCCCAGGGAGGGGGAGGCAGAGGCCCCAAGGTGCAAGGTGCAGGGGAGGCATTTGTTCATTTTCACGAAAACAGCAGCCTTGCTTGTTTTGCCCTGAGCGGCAGCCCAGCCGCTGGCCCTGAGCCTGGCACACTGTGGGGCCTCACTAAGCAGCTGCCGGGATGGGTGGACAGAGGAGCCGGTGGCAGGGTGGGTGGGTGGGTGGATGGATGATGGGTAGACAGGGAGATGGGTGGGTGGGTACATAGACCAATGAGTCGGGTAGGTGGGGCAGATGGACGAAGTGGTAGTAGGTAGTGGGGTGGATCCCTGCAGACTCTGGGCAGCGGGTCGTATCTAGTCACTGCTGCAGGGAGCCCTGCCTCCCCGGGGTGCCTGGGTCTGCTGGAAGACAGGCTGTCCCCAGTGTGAACAAACACCATAGCCACTAACAAGGAGATACAGTTCCCGGAGACCCCAGCGCCACAAGGCAAAGGAACACATGACAGCAAACGTCACGGCTCTACACGCTGCTCTGCGCTGGCAGGAGCTCCCAGAGCCGGCCATGCAGCCCATCGCCCGGGGCCTGAAGACGCCAACAGATGTAAAGGGGACACTCATCCCCAGAACCACAGAGCCCAGGGGACACACTTTCCACCGGGGACTCTCGCTCCACTGGAGGGCGACGGGGGCCTCCCTCAGAACCGGTCACTGGGTGGCCACACCCGTGGCAAGGCTGAGGCAGGGGAAGTGGTGGGAAGAGGAAAGAGGAAGGGGGACTGAAGGCCTGTCGAATAGCTCCTCCCACCCTCCCACTGCCAACCTGGCCTGGGGCCGGAGAAGCAGGGGCTCAGGGTCCCCAGGGGCCTCACGGTACTGCCCACGGCCTCACACTCCCAGCCCCTGCCATCCCTCCATGAATGCCTTCCCCAGTCTTTAACTGGCTGGCTCCTACCCATCCGTCCACACTCAGCTCAGGGGCTGTGTGGCAGTTACATCATCTCCTGTCAACTTGTGAAGGCTAGAGTCTAGCCTGTCAATCAGGTCATAGCCAATGGGGCCTCTGTGTGGGCGTGGCTTCCTCCTGGGGATTCTGGGAAATCCTGTCTTCCTCCCTGGAGGTGGGATACACACTCTGTGAGACATTCCTGTTGACAAGCCACATGGAGCTACACTGATGCAGCCAGAGTCCTGGAGCCAGAGGAGCCACGTGGAGGCCCACACCAGCGCTGAGATGCTTCCACCGCCACTGGACCCCCAAGACTTTTCACCTACTGGCCTGCATCTGACATCATTGTATGTGTTGAGTAAGTCTGAAGAGGAATTTATAGACTGGTATCGGATATGGACTAATATGGACCTATGGACTTGATCTGGATTGGGCTGGGATGTTTTCTTCATGTACAATCTCTCTTTGATAGAAAGCTCTCTTTTACACCCATATGAGTGTCTCTGGATTTGTTTCTCTAGTCTACTTGACCTAATCCAGGCTTCCTCCTCCAGGAAGCCTTCCCTGACTGCACGGCCTTCAGGGCACTTCCATTCCCCCACCACCACCACCCACCCAGCACTCCACCATTCCTACACTGGAGCGGCGCATCCTTACCTGCCTGTCTGCCCATCTCCCCGGCCAGTCCGCCCTCCCCGGTCCCCAGCTTGCAGACTGCCACGCCCCTCACCTTCCCCGAGCTGCAGCGCGGGGTCCATGAGCTCCATCATGTACTCCACATCGAGCAGCATCTCCGTGAGGTTGCTGCGAGCCAGCGCGTACATGAGCACGGGCAGGAAGTCGTCGGCCCCGTAGGGCTTGCCTGCAAGGACAAGGAGGCAAAAACCTGAGCGTGAGACCCCTCCCCGCCCACTCCCAGGTGAGCTGTGCCCGCCAGGGGCGTGGCCACTCCTGGAAGAGGACCCTTTCCCCGTCTGGGGCTCCTAGGAACTGGGCAGCATTGGGATCTGCTCCTGGCCTGATGATCCAGGCGGACGGGGAAGGAGCTGAGAAAGCCGTCTCCCCGCTTCCCCAGCTCCTGCTAAACATGGGTACCCCCTGGGAAGATCCCCTGCAACACAACCCCCATTCAACCTTTTTGGGGTAAGCATCGCCCTTTCTGGAAGGTCATTTTCAACTTTAGACACGCCTGGAAGGAATTCGTCCTATCCGGTGGCACAGAGGTTAAGCGCTCCACTCACCCCATGGTGGGCAGTTCACACCCACCTGGCAGCTCAGCGGGAGAAAAGACCTGGCGATCAGGTCTACCCACTGCCATTGAGTTGGCTGTGACTCACGGTGACCCCCTAGGACAGAGAGACCACACATCTTCACAAGAGCACACAGCCCCCTCCCCTTTATCCTGCCGGACTGCTGAGTCCCCATGGTGCCATTCCCAGCCCAGCACCGAACTCACTACACTATGAACATGCCGGCCTGGGCCCTCTCTGGGGGGTTCTCATCAGTCCTGTGGGGTCCACGACACACAGCAACCACCTCTGAGGCCCAGAGCCACGGGCTGCTTGGAAAGGACGGGTCCCCCGAGTCTTAGACCCTTCAGCCTGACGGACAGCAGTCTGTCTATGCAGGTTAGGTGTGTATTTTGTTCACCATTGATATTCTTGCATTCATTCAAAATTAAACTTTTAATGCTGCATTCAGTATCATCCGTCACCTCCGGAGTCCATGGTTCACGGTGCTGTTCAGAGCTGCCGAGGGGATTCTGGGTCAGAGCGGCCTCCTGGGACAGGGCAGAACTGGGCCGTGGGGGCTCTGGGCAGACAGCTTTTGGGGGACCTTCCCCCACGAAGCCAGCCTTGCGGTGATTGCCCAGCACACTGCACCACCAGCCAGAACGGAAGACACATGTCCACCCCCACCCCCGAGGCTCAAAGCAGGATTCTTCCTCGCTGTCAAAGTTGGAAACACCCCAGATGCCACTCGGCAGGTGGACGGACAGACATACTGGGGTCCTGCCCGCCGGAGGGCCAAGCTGTCACAGAGAGCGGACAGTCACACTTTGACACATGACCCGACGGGTCCAACTTTGACACCACCATGCTGAGTGAGTGAGTCTGGACACAAAGGGTCAGTCCTGGACAGTCTCGCTCACCAATGGGGCCCGAATAAGCACATTTGCATTTTTGTAAGCCACGTGTTGGACTGCTACCTGTAAGGTTAGCAGTTCAAATCCACCAGCCACTACATGGGAGAGACAAGGCTTTCTACTCCCCTAAAGAGTTACAGCCTCGGAAGTCCACAGGGACAGTTCTGTCCTGTCCTGTGGGGTGGCTGGGAGTCGGCACTGACTCAATGGTAGAGATTTGAGTTTATGGCAACAGGAGGTAGCCTGGTGCTTCCTGGGAGCTGGTGTGGGGTGAACAGGGGTGACTGCCGAGGGGCACCCACCAGGGCATCAGGAAGAAGTGAGTTCGAGGACGAGAAAACCTTGGAGAAAGCAAAACAGGGCATGGGGGCTCTTGTGGCTCTCCTGTCCCTCTGCAGGCATTCTGTCCCTGCTGTCCCTGGCCCAGGGGTGCTGGGCTCACACCCCGAGGACATGCTTGTCTCCATGTGTCTGTCCCCTCCCGGGTCCTCCACAGCACCCACAGCACAGTGCTGGTACCCTGGGGCTCCTGTGGTAGTTTGGGATTATGTCAACTGGACACCCCTGGCTAGGGGTGGAGTCAGGTCTGTCAATCAAGTGAGAGTCTGATGATACCTCCGTGGGGTCATAAGCCTTTTGTACTAAGGCACGAGGAGCAGAAATGATCTCTCTCTTCCTGCCCCTCCACCTTCCTACCAGCCGGAGCTCTGCCGGCGGCAGGGGGTGGTCCCATGTGGGCAACCCAACCTTGAGAGGTGCTGGTGCCGGCACCCCGGCACGGTCCCACCAGCCTTGGAGCCATGTGACGCGGCACCCATCGGCCTGCGGTCTTCCTGCTTCCCGGTTCACCATTCTGAGCAACGTGAGTCCGAAGAGGGACTGGCTTTGCACTGTGGACTTGAGTTGAACTGGGTTGGGATGCCATCTTGATAGGTAATTACTTCTTGATATAAAGCTCTTTCGGAGACAAGGATGAGCCTCACTGGATTCCTGTTTCTAAACCACCCGGCCTAAACTCCCCGCCCCCACCACCCTACATCCATCCCCATGTGTGGCAATGGCCGCTCTGTGCTCTGCTAGCTCACCTGCTTGCCCCATAGGCTTTGCCTCATAGCCGCTTACCGGCCCTTCCGTGTCTACGTGTCTACGTCAGAAAAACTCAGAAAGTTCAGAGACTCTTCGAGAACCCAGCCTCGGAGCCCCTCAGGGTCCAGAAAGTGTCATGGAGGGTCAGCTAACATGGCCTTGAGGGTCTGCTTCCTCAGGCGCTCCCTCCCCACTCCCCCAGGGGAATAGGCAAGGCTCTGTGTGCCCTGCCCCTGGCTGACCAGAGCTGAGCCTGCTGCACCACCCCTGCCGTGCCGCCTGCACACACCCCTTTACTCTCTCAGCCTCCTGTCTGGTCACCTGGGCACTGACTGACCACCTGACCAACTCGGGGGGAGCTGGCGGGAATCTTGGGAAATGACTTTGTGCGACATGGTTCCCCGAGCCTCTGCTTTGAGATTCCTGTCCCCTCCCCTGCATGAGATGAGTCAGGCTTAGAAAGGAAGTGCCTTCCCATAGGAGATGTAGGAGATGGCTCTGTGCCTGGGGCTGTTTTTCAGGTAGATCACTGGATTCTTAGAGGGTTGGCTTTTAACATTTTTATTTCTGAGTTCAGGAGCCAGGCAGGCAGGCTGTGTGAATGTAAAAGGCTGTCCAGGGCTCTCTGTAATTCCTACAGAACTCACTGCTGGCTGCGGCAGGTGAGACACTATCCCCTCTCGTCCCCCAGCATGTCCTGATAACCCACCCGGACTACGAACACCTGATTCCAACGGGGGCGACACCCCAGGACTGGAGGTGCTTCCTCGGATCTGGTGGGGGAGGTCAGGAATTCACCCACAATGCACTGCCCATGCCCCCCAGAAAAACGCACCCCGCCAAGGCCCATTGTGCCGAGGGTGGGCTGGACCTTGTGTAAAAGGATCAGGACTTTCAGGCAGGGAGCAGGTCCCTCCAGGACCTTGGGCGGGGTGTGTGTGGGGTCAAGGAAGCTGGACTGCGGACCATGAGTGGGGCAACAGGGAGGGAGGTACTCAGGACTGCTCTGTGCCCTCTGGTTCCTCCCCCACCCCTGCCTCTCCCTGGGGTTCCCAGCTGCCCCTCAGGGAGGGCTGTGGGCCCACCTTCTCCCTCTCTGTCACTGTGTGCTCACACCTCAAACAGCTCCCCCCTCCTGCGTGAACTCACCTACCTGTCTGTCTGCCCACCACCCAGGAGCCCCTGTGTCCACTGCCCTGGGCACAGGCCTGGTGCCACAAAGGTGTGCAGGAAGTGCTCTTGAGTGAGTGAGGGGGTCAGCACATGGTCAAGTGCCAAGCTCCCAGCAAGACCCCAGGGCCCTCACGTGGGCACCCACCCTATGGAGTGGGTCCTTCCCCGCTAGGGGACAAGCCAGTAAGCCAGTGTGGGCTCCCTCTGCCTGCAAACTCACCCTTCCCAGGACCACCCCCCTGCTGCAGGGAGCCCGTCCCCTCAGGGCCAGCCAGGCAGGAGCCACACCCCCTGCCCAAGCGCCCTCTGATCCCAGCCCTCCTGCCCGAGGTCTGTCCTCCCAGCAGGGCCTCGGTCCTTTCACCCACTCTGCCCAGGAAGGCATCTCCTGAGCTCCGGCCATGCAATGTCTCTGCTTAGGCATGACAGAGCCCGGCCCGTCTGTGCAGTGGATGGGACACCGACCACCAGCAGAGCCTGGCTCACGAGACCCGCATGGGTCTGAGCAGCAGGGAGCTCTGTAGGGTCTTCAACGGTCGCTTGCTGGGAGTTGGTCACCAGGTCTTTCTTTCACTGCACCCGTCGGTGAACTCAGACTGCAGCCTCTCAGTGGACGGCTGAGCATTGTAACCGTTCACACCACCCAGGGGCCCTGTACATGGCCCCTCGTCCCTGCCCGAATAGCAGAAATCTGAAAGACCAACCAAATAAGTTGTCCGAAGGAATTTCAAGCAGCTAGAAGTATGAACGTACTCTCCATGGTTCAGGGTAATCATAAAATCCTTGTGGAGCGTTACGGTTTAAGAACCTCATGTTTTGCTACCTTAAGAGTGCAGACGTGATAGAAACACTGAACTTTCTTCACATAGTTGGGAAGGACCTTAGTCCCTCCGGCCGGCTGTGTGACATGACTTTGCCTCTTGAATCCAATGAACTTTTTAGAAAAATGATACACACACACACACACACACACACACACACACACACCACCCCATATATACTCGAGTATAAGCTGACCCGAAATTTTCAAGCTACAAATTTCAGGTTGGCTTATACTTGAGAATACATGCAAATCTGAACCAAGTCCCTGCCCTAACTTTAATACATTTGTCTTAAATATATATAAAGAAAATGCTCTCCATGGGAAGCGCTTCAGAAGAAAGCCTGGTGATCGACTTAAACCAACAACGAGCAGTGTTGACGGCGCGGTGGGCGGAGCTGTAGCTGGCACTGGATGGATGGGAATAGGATGTAGCCAGTGGCTTTCTGGGGAAGGGGCTTCCCCGTGGTGCAATGACTCTCCAGGGCCCCAGGGAGGTGCTCTGGTGGCATAGGGCTTAAGTGTTCATCTGCTAACGGGAAGGTCGGGGTTCAAACCTTGTTGAGATCCAGCCTGGGAAACCCTATGGAGGCAGTTCTACTCCATCCACAGGACCACCAGAGGTCAGAATCAATCTGCTCGGCCCAACACAGCTGGTCAATGCAGGACTTGTGTCCCTGGGCTCAACCTTTCCCACTGTCCCAGGCATCTCTGGAGGTCTGCGTACTCCCGACTGTAGGGGGCATGTGGGGCCCATGGGAGACACAGGAGGAAGGGACACCTTCCCAGAGAAGCAGGGCTCGGTAGGGGAAGGGCTGCTTCTGCTTCAAGTGGGGCAGTGGCCACCAGGGTTGTGGTGGGGACAGGAGGGCGAAGGCCGGCGCTCTGCCTTCCCTGGGCCAGCACCAGCCCTGGGGGGCTGGGTGTCACACTGCTGGCGGGCAAGGCCCTAGACCATCCAGGCCCTGGGGCATCTGCAGGAGAGGCCATGGGCTGACTGCCAGTCCTGAAATCACCGATGGTCAAAGCCAGGAGGGAACCTTTAGAGGGCGGGTCAGGGTCTGGCCGAGAAAACGCACAGCCTCGATCTAGTCGCAAGGAACGCTGATGTGCTAATGGGGAACTCGCGTAAACAAACACGAAGAAATGGCTGTGGGTGGGGGGAGAAGCCTGCACATCTCAGTAATATCAGCGGCACAGCAGACCAGGTAAGGCTGCGGGGGCACCTTCCCGAGTCCAGGAGTCCAGAGACCGGTGGGGCCGGGGTCAAACCCTCACCTTCCAGGCAGGGCAGGTGGTTTGAGTGGCAGTCAGTCACCTCCTGCACAGCACTCACCCGCCTGGCAGCGGGACCTGGTGTGTTGCTGTGAAGCCGAACAGCTTTCAGCAGCGCTGCCAGACTAGGTAGACCAGGACGAAGGCCTGACAATCTATTGCCCCACCAACAGGCAAGAAGAAAACCCCATGGCTCTCAGTGCCTCTGCACGGGATCGGGGGAACAGCACAGGACCTTCCAGGAACCACGTTACTCTGTTGTCCACGGGGTGGCCGTGAGGGGGGTACGAGTGGACGACAGACAACACCAGCAAAGACTCTCCAGGACCACATGTAGCACCTGACCTTGCTCTGGACCCTGAGGCCCTGAACAGGAGGGGGGCATGCTGGGAGTTGATTTGATCAGGCCCTTCCCAGCATGCCCACCTCCTGTTCAGAAAGAGCAATCCTTCCATCCTCTATGACCAGGGCTGCCGCGTACAGCTGCCCAGGGTCCTTACTGCACAAGCGCAGGCAGCCAAAGGGCCAGCTGGGGATGGCAGTCAGCCAGTGCGCTCAACACCATGGGGTACTCGGTCTAACTTGGAGGGAGGGCGGGCCAGCGCTGCGCTTGACGGGTGGCTGACCCCTCTCCACCCCGTTTGCAGGGTGGCTATGGCTCTTCTCAGGGAAGGAGGAGCCCTGCGCTCACCCCAGGAGCTTCGGCTGGTTCGGACTCACATGTGCAGTGACACGTACCTCAGCAACATTGGGGCCATGTCAGCCTAAGCCTCATAGGTGCAAGCTGGAGCCAGCCTGTTGGAGGGTGAGCAGCAGGCGGCCCAGTCTCCCAGACTGGCCAGCATCCAATCAACCCACAGGGACGACACCCCCCGGCGGGGGCCCGGTGGGTCCACACCACACAGCTGTCCACCATTGTGTGGACTTGGCAGCCACGGGCCATGGAGCCTCACACACAAGGGCACGGAATAGGCAGGCTTCCTTCCTGGTTGGGCGTGTGTGTACCAGAACACCACCAGCTCCAGGCCCCCGAGCCCGGCCCGCCCGCTTACCTGGGTTGCCGAGGGCCATGGAGTCGTAGATGAGCTTGCAGGTCTTGAGCAGGATGGCGATCTTCTTCTCGGGCGAGTAGGCCTGGTGCATGCTGGCGAACTTCTGCAGGATCTTCTCCAGGACGGGCAGCTCGGGCACGCTGGTGGTCACGCCCAGGTCAGTGGTGGTGGTGGCCAGGATGACCAGCTGGTTCTCCTTGAGCTGCTGCAGCGAGCCGTCCTTGCTGTGAATCTCACGCAGGCACAGGTCGATGGCTTCCTTCAGCGGCTTCAGGACACATTTGTACAGGGCCGACTCCACAATCGCTTCTGTGGGCCGGCGACAGCGGGAGGGTGAGAAGGCCAGCTGTGGGGATCACCCTGTCCCACCCCACCCCGTGCGGCCACCCAACCACCCACCCACGCCCCAGAAACACACGCGTATAGCCCTCGTGGCTCTGACACGAGACGCTGCTCCATCCTCAACAAAAAGCCACAAAATGAAGATACTGCCAGAGGAGGCACAGACGACCCTAAGCCCGGCGCTGTCTCCGGATGCCCTCACAGGCCCTGTGTGAAGCGCTCCCTGACAGCACTGCCTCAGCCCAGAGGGCAGAAGGGCACCGTTCACCCGGGCTTGTGCAGTATGCAACCTGCTGTGCAGAGGGCCCGGGCACCCAGGAAATGTCTGGTGGAGCTAATCTTGGATGCCTCTCTTTACTTCAATTCTCTTAAATCTGCTTGACCTTGGCTTCAAAATCTACTGTGCCCCATATCTGACTTCTTGTCGATGCCACCCGATCCCTCAGCCCTGGGTGATAGGCTGCTGATGGCAAGGTCGGTAGTTCAGAACCCACCAGTCTCTCTGAGGGAGAAAGGTGGCGCTGTCTGATTCGATGGCGGTGCATTCGGTTTGGGGTTTCACTGGGCGCTGGGTGATCACCTTTGGCAGGGCGCAGCGGTGGCCTCTTGCTCCGGCCCTTGGTTGCCTGCTCTCTGCACAGCAGCCAGCACGATCTGCCAGGCCATGTCACACGTCTGTGCGCACCCTCCCGGGGGCTCCCATCACACGTGCAGTCAAAGCCCGCTCCCTGTGCTGCAGAGGACTCCTGGGGTCGTACCCCAGGACCTGACTGACCCGTGGCCTCATCTTCTCCCAGGGCCTCCTGAACCTGCCAGGCTGCTCCTGCCTCAGGGGCTCTGCCTGGAGCAGTCACCCCACAGACACCCTGTCCAAATGCCCTCGTGTCTGAGAGCCGTGTGTCCTAGGCCATCAAGACAAAGGGCAGCTACATCTCATGCCCGCAGGACCTACTAAGGAGCCCCGGTGGCACAGTGGCTGATAAAGCGCTCAGCTGCTGACTGCAACGTCGGTAGTTCAAAACCCCAACCACTCCTCAGGAGAAAGACGAGGCAGCCTGCTTCTAGAAAGATTGCCAGCCCAAGAAACGCCACGGGGCAGTTCTACTCTGTCCGAGAGGGCTGCTGGGAGTCAGTATGGACTCGGTGACAGTGGGTGTGGGTGGACAGGATGCACTAAGGCCCTGGTGTGTGTGTGGGCAGGGGCCGGTAGGGGGACATTTCATAACTAGCTTGGGCCTGAGTGAGGGTGAACCGACCCCTAATGACACCATCAAGGTGACATTCGGCTGCTTGTCCTGATGGCTGGGGGTCTGGGTGATGGATCTAGTAAGGGGAGAGCCCAAGCCATTATGCCCCTTTTCGGGTAGGAAGGTGGCACCTGAACCGTCATGCCTCCTGAGTGAGCACAGGTAGGGGCCTGGACAAGCCTCCTCTGGGGTAGGTGCATGTCTGGGTTTCAGGGTGGTCCTGATACTCTGGGCACATTCCCAGCTGCTTCCACAGCCCACCGGGAGCTGCCCCTCCACCTAGACACACCGTCCATCCTGTCCCACCTTGGAGCCTTTTGCATCTGGAGATAGAACGGCATGGGGGCAGGGGACCTGCGTCAGCTCTGTGGCTGCCCCTTAACTCCTGCCTGACCTGTCCAAGCCACTTCCCCTTCAGGGCTGCTTCCTCATTGGCAGCACTGAAGGACTGTTCTACCCCCACCCCCCACCCCAGGGCCCCTCCTGTCTCTGAGAGCCAGCTCTTGGGCAGCTGCCTCCTCCCTCCTGATGCAGGTCTCCCTGGCCGCACGCTGGTCCTTTGTCTCAGAACAGCTCCTGGCCTGTTTCTGGGACAAAACCAGAGCGGGGTGGCGTCTGCCCTGCTGCTCTGAGCTTTAGACTTGGCCTCTGTCTGCCTGGGCAGGTGGGCAGAGCCGGAAATGAGAGGCAGACAGGTAGAGTGGTTAGTTCCCGGACAGCTTTCTGGCTGTTCTCAGTGGGCTCTCGGTCAGTTCTTACCAATTGAACTGTGAGCCCTAGAACACGGGTGAAGACCCTAACTGCGACACCAGTAGATGTGCGCACAAGAGCAAACAAATCTGTCTCCAGAATGTCCCTTAGAGGCCAGGGTGGTGATGTCGTCTCCCGTGCTTTGGACGCGTCATCCGGAGAGACCAGTCCCTGGAGAAGGACACTGTGCTTAATGGAGTGGAGGGTCAGCGAAAAAAGAGGACGACCTTCCAGGAGATGGTTGGCCCTGTGGCTGCACCCATGGGCTCAGATATAACCATTGTGAGGATGGTGCAGGGTGAGGCAGGGTGTCACTCTGCTGCGCAGCAGCATGGGTGGCTGTGAGCGGAACCGCTGGAGGCACCCGACAAGAATCCTGGGAACTGGAGCTTTCTTTGTGATGTTAGCAAGCTCGCTCCAGCTCCAGTCTCTGCATGACTGAAGGGCAGAGCAGGTCTCTGCATCACTGAAGGGCAGAGCAGAAGACAGACGGCATGCTGTGGTCCAAAAGGAGCCCAGCAAGGCCCAGGGCGATGCCCCAGACTGGCCGGATCCTGACAGGACTTGTAGCCTCTGGCATGGAGACAAGGAACTTCTATTCCCCAAAGGCCCACGGGGACGTCTGTGGGACAGTTGTGGGGGGAGGGAGATGCTACCAGTCATCTTCCCTGAGGGTGATCAGTTGCCAAACTTCAGTGGGCCCTGCTTCCTGCTGCTGGGGACAATGGACAGGCTCCTGTAGGCGGAGCTTACACCCTACTGATAATGGTTCCTATGGAGACCCAGGGAACAGGACAAAGTTAAGCTGCCATCCTAAATCTAGCATCAGCCCATCTTGTCACATGTATATCCCCAATCCCTCCTCTCCTATTGCGTGTATGTCCCTAGACCACTCCCTCTCACTGCTGTCTAACCTATAGTGCAACCCCTTCCTGTGACATATGTCTTTACCTGGAATTAGTGGGCTTGCACCCCCAAAAGGTATATAGGCATGGGTCAGCAATAGAGATCCCTCGCTGGGCTCTCTCGCTGGTCTCTCCCTCTCTTCCCTCTCTCCTCTCCCGTCCTCTCTCCCTGGTTCCCTTTCCCGTCCTCCTTCCCTTCCCCCTCTCTCCACGTGGACTACCAAGAGGGGCTGAGGTGAGCAATGCTACCATATAATATATCTGACTGCATTAATCTAATAATACTTATATACCTCCACCGTACAATTGTGCATTACTGAACCCGTGGGTAGTAGTAGCGGTGGGGCTGGCCCCACTCCCCATAAACGTAATACTACAGACAGTGGCCCTCCATCACTAAGACCCGGTGGACCAGGACGCTGCAGGGTTCTGGGGAATCAGGGGCTGGGTGGTGCTGCTACCACTGCTGCCCACTGTCCCTCCATCTGCCTGGTGCCCCACCCAGCAGCCTAGCTCAGTAGCCCCTCACCCCTCCTGGAGAGTTCCCTGCTCCACCGAAACTCTCTGCCTTGCCACCTGCCTGGTTAGATTTGGAGTCTGGCTCTTGTTGGCATCGGGGGCCTGGTGCAATGCTGGCCTTGTTGGTATTCTGGGACTGGGGTTCTTCCTGTACAGTCCAGGCTGACCCAGTCCCTGGCCCCCAGGCCAGTCTCCCTCCCTGCCTTCCCTTTCTTGTCTTCACTCCTCCTGGGGTGCCTGCCCAGGGTCCTCATGGCACCCCCAGCCCTCCCCACCCGGGCCCCTGTCCACCCTGCTGTCTAAAGTCCTTTCGATCTGTCCTCAGAACACGGCAACCTCTCCCTGCCATGCTGGGCTCCAGCTCTGACCTCCTGGGGGGCAGGCTGACCTAGGAGAGCTCCCTGCCCCCCGACCCCCCACAACCTCACCAGACCCTTCCCTTCCCCCGGCCCGGAATAGCTTACTATTACCACCTTGCAGCTGAGTGACCGGCTGAGGGGTAGCTCCATCACCCCAAAGCCCAAACAGATCTGCTGCCTCCCGCCCCGCCCCCAAGCTCCCACCTATGCTGTCCCAGCCACATCCTCTGGGGGCTCTGATGCAAGCACTTAAACCCACCCTGCCTCTTCTGTCACCCAGCCTACAGTGGGCCAGGTGATCCTGGTGTCCCCACCTTCATAAGAGATCCAGCACCCCACCTCTTTGCACACATTCCCCCTCCCCACCCCCACCCTGTACCAGTGCTGCCGTCAGAGCTAGGTTATTGCTCTGACCTCCTCTGGTCTGGGTTAGCGGCCCACGTCCACTTGTAAGCCACTCCCACTGGAAAGCCACTCCCATGGCAAGCCACTGCCAAGGTAAGCCACTCCCACAGGTAACATACTCCCAGGGAAACCCTCTCCCACAGGTAACCCTGTCCCACAGGTGACCCACTCCCATAGTAATCCACTCCTGGAGGCAGGAAAGGAGCATCGTAGAACCAGGGCAGCAGGGAGCAAGATGGGAAAGACCCCGCAGAGACCCTGGAAGAATGAAGCGACACTCACCGGGGGTGGAGAAGCCAGTCAAGGCCCTTCCCCCAGAGCTGGCAGAGAGGGAGGGGGAGAAGGCGGGAACGCGCACCCCCCTCGAGCTGGGCCCAGAATTGAGACTTGCTGCCTCCTGGGCTGTGAGAAAACATCCCACCGCCCCCCCTCCCCAGTGCCAGTCACAGCAGAACCCCCAGGACCCCTGCCCGCACTTCCTACTCTCAGCTGCCCCTGCCACCTCACCGCTGCCTGCAGCGCCCCAGCTCGGGCTCCGGGCTCCCAGGGCAGGCTCATGCCTGCCTTCCCTGGGTCACTCCAGTGTCAGGCTAGACTGCTTGCTCAGTGGACTCGGCTGGGCACTCGGCTGCCCAGCTGGTGGGCAGGGGTCCTGGGCTGTGTGGACCCTGCCTCCTGCCCAGGCAGGAGTTCCACCCTCAGCGAATGGGCCCCCCCAATCCAGGATCCCACGCAGACACACGTGGCCCAGCCTCCGTCCTTGCAGCTCCTGCCCTCTCCAGCTCCCCACCTTCAGACCCCGGTCATTTCCAGAGTCCCCATGGAGCCCCATGTCCTGGGGAAGGGAGCCCCCTCTGTTTTGTTTTTAGAAACGTTCCCTGTCAGCAGGACCTTCTTGTGACCCTGACCCTTTCCAGGTTGAATTTGATGAGTGGGCTGAGGAGGGGGTGGGTAGGAGGTGGGCAGTCCCAGGGGAGGTGGACGGTGCCCAGTTCCCATTGGCTCAGGGCCCTCCTTCTGAGCAGCACAGCCTCACTGGGTGTTATAAATATTTACGCGTGTCTAACTGATCACAGTGGGAGATCTATTTCCCTGTGGCTCTGGTCACACACGGTTTGGCTGGAGTGGAGTCTGGTGGGGGACTGGTGGGGCGGGGGGCCCAGCGGGCTGCCTCAGCAAACTGTTCCCTGGACCGTGGCGCCTGAGGTAGGGGTTAGGTGCACATGCTAATTTGGAAAGCGCTTGGAACGATGGGAATGAGGAAGCAGGGTGGGGCCTGGGAAGGGGGCATCAGGCCCAGTCTGGCCCCGCGGTGAGCCCTGGAGCTTCACACTGGGGCCCCGACTGCCCTTTGAACCTCATGGCAGAGATCTGCCGTTCCAGGGAAGCTAGGGCAGGCAATATGAGGGCCCGGCGGCCCAGGCCAGGTCGCTGGAAAAGGGGAAGCTGTGAGCGGTTAGCTAACAGGATGACTACACTAGCCCAGGGAAGGGGATGTTGGTAAGATCCCCGCAGGTCCCTTAGAGGGGCCTCTGCTGTCCCATGAGCCCTTGGTCCTCCCCTCCCTGGCCCCCCACTCCGAGCCTGGCCTGGGTACTGACCGAGCTCTTCCTGTGTGTGCAGGCTGGGGTCCACTAGGGCCTTCAGCTCGGTGCTCTGCAGCAGGTAGCTCTTGAGCTGGGTCATCATGGTGCGGATCTCCTGCAGCATCTCAGTGCTGGAGGCCTGGTGCGCCATCATCTCCAGGCTGTAGACCTTGTAGTCCTGCACCAGGCTGCCGAAGTACGCAGCCTTGTCCTGCGCCAGCTCCACCACCTTCTTGTACAGCTTGCGGTTGTTGGAGAGGAAGGCGTGGAAGACGCTGGTGAAACTGGCCAGGCTCAGGCGGTGCCGAGCCTTGTCCAGGAGCATGGCCGGCTTGGTCTTCACATGGGGGCTGCTGAACGGCTCGGGCTCCTCCTCGGTGCTGCTGGTGGAGTAGGAGTCCTGGTCTCCGGCTGAGGCGGGAACGCCCAGGCTGTCTGAGAGGGAAGGCAGGGAGCCTGTTGCCTCTGGGGGACTATGTGGGTGGGCACCAGCCTGGCCATCAGCATGGGGGGCAGGTTTCTCTGCTGACAGCTGGGCCTTCTCCGCGGGGCTTGCAGCCAGCTGCCTGGAGATGCGCTTCTTCCTGGGGGGCGGCACTGGGGGCTGCTTAGCCTTCCTTGGTGGCTCCCGCATGCTGCCCAGGCCACCGGCTCTGGCCTCTGCTTCCTGGCCCTGCTCCGTGGTCTTCTGAGGCCTGTCCCCAGCACTGTCTGAGGTCCCGTGGGGAGGCAGGCTGAGAGAGGTGGCCCTGGAGGGGCCCTGGTGGTCCCCCTCTGACCCCTTCCTGGAGCCAAGCTCTTCCAGGGAGAATCTCTGGGATAGGTGGCGCCGGGGAGGGGCGGCAGGCAGGCCCTTCTTGGCGGGCAGTGGAGGGGCGGCCCCCCACCTTAGCTCTCTCTCCCTGAGGGGGCCCAGGTCCGGGGCGGGGCGCGGGAGCCTCTCACAGGCTGTCGTGGGTGGCAGGCTCGGAAGGCCAGGGGGATTGGGGGCATGAGCTTTGGTGTGGGGGGCAGAGATGGGTGGTGGGAGAGGGAGGGCTTCTGGGGTGTGTGGGGTAGCACCCACTGGAGTAGGAAGGGGTGGAGTGCAGGAGGGAGCAGGAGCAGGGATCGGAGGGGGAGGAGGCCGGGCTGGGCCTGAGGGAGTGACAGGGGGTCCAGAGGGTAGGGGTGGGGGTGGGGGAGGGGGTCTGCGAGGGGTCCTCTGGGAGGGCGGTGAGGTAGCGTTGGAGGTGGGAGGCAGCAGGCTCACGGGAAAGCTTCCAGGAGGTGGAAGGTTCACGGGTGGGGTGCCCCCGTAGTCCTCGATGAAAATGGGGTTCACAAACCACAGGCGGTCGTTGCCCACAGCCAGCCGGACTTCGCAGGAGCAGTTCGAGGTGTGGGCCGTGGGCCTGAGGCTGGTGGCTGGGGACGAGGTGGGGGCCGGCTCTCTGTGGGGTTCCGCTGGGCTCCCCGCCGCTGGCCTGGAGTTCAGGGAGGAGTCCCAGAAGCCTGTGGGGACACAGCAGCAGAGGCAGTCAGTGGGCCAGGGGGCAGGGGCAGGAGGCACCCCAGCAGCTGCTTCAGGACTGGGAGGGAGGTTGTTTTTCCTCTTGGGCCCTTTGAAGCCTCTCCCACCACTTCCTGGCTGAGAGGGGAAGCCCCGTGAGGCTCTCGGGTGGCAGCCCTGGGGTGGGGTGGGAGGTGGCAGAGAGCAACCATCCCTGGGCCTGCCACAGACCCCAGGGCTCTGCATGTGGGGGTGGAAAGGATAGATGTGCCCACACTTGCTCCCTCTGGGGCAGGTGGGGCTCGGTCCTGCCATCTCTGACCCAGGATGGTGCAGTGGCACCCACGTGGCAGGCTCGAGAAGGCTTTGTTCCCACGGGGTACTACTGTGTGTGGGTAACTGCCCCTCGCTCAGCCTGTGTGGACCACAGCCCAGTCACAGGCTGGGAGGCTTGTGGTCAGCAGGACCTGCCTGCCCCGACTGCCCAAGCAGGGGCTCCAGGCGCACTGCCCAGTGGTTTTGACTTTGGTCAGCCCCAATGCTGACGGCACAGGGCAGCCCACGCTCCCAGGTGTGTGTGACGGGGAGCCAGAGCAGACAGGGGTGGGGGTAGGGGGGCTCGTGTGCGGATGAACACAGTTCTGGCAGATTCTTTTAGGCAGCCCTCATGGCCTGGGCTGCGGCCATGGCCACCAGAGCTGTCCTCACTGCAGGGCAGGGCGGCACTAGACTGGGCCTGGGGAAGGGCCCTGGGGACTGGCTGAGTGAACTCCTTTCCAGAGGCTGACTCGCTCTGGAATCCCTGACCTATGGGGACCCCCTCACTGGGAATTGGCTAGGAGCTTTCTGTCCCCACCCTCAAACATTGGATTTCAAGTAAGCCCTCCCAAGAGATGAACGTGGACCCAGGTTCTGCCTAAGTTGGTCATTGAGAGGTGCTTAGAGACTTGGGCAGGCAGGTCTGGAAACCCTGGGTGGTGGTGGTGGGGGGGGGCTGTGCTGGGCCTCCAGTGTCTCCCCCAGGCTCTTCTTGGCTTTAGGGAGGGTCTTGTCCGTCAGCGAGTTCCCAGGACTGCCACACAGCATGGCGATTCAAACCGATGGGCATGGCCTGCCTGTCCGGGTTCAGTGACTTGCTTCCTGTGAACATTCTTGCTGACCGCCCCCTCCCCCCGCTACCCCCCACCCCCCAGCTTTCTTTTCCAGTTCAATTTTACTTCCCCTCCCTCGTTTAGCTGTGCACCCCATTATTTAGATCCGAGGGGAAGGGAATGTGGAGGTTTTCGCAGACTGTGAGCCTTCAGGTTCGTAGGCAGTAAGTATTTATTACTTCTCTCGGTTTTCAAAGAGGCATATCCTTCTGTAATTACATAGCCCGTCTCAAGGAACAAAATCGCTAGTAAGTGCCCATCGGACCTCATCCAGGTGGCTCTCTTCTCCCCGCCCCACCCCCTGCTTCCCCCACCCTGCTCCCCCTGGTCCCTGGTCTCCTTGTAGTCCTCAAAGTCTTATCTTTTGGGACGAAAACCACTGTTCCCTTTTCTTCTCTTTTCCTTACGATCATGGTGTCATTAAATATGGATCTTGATGCGCTGACTACTTTGCTACGTAGTGTCCTCTGGTCTCGTCCGTGTCTTGCGGTGTTTATGAGGGGCATCACTGTTGTCCACTGACACATAGTATCCCACCACCCGCCTCGAGGGTCTGTCCCCAATGCCCAGGTGAAGACAAGAGGCCCAGCGAGATTCAGGGACTCGCCTGAATGAAGGTGCTGGGGGCTGAACTGGTTCTAACCGGTCACCCTAGAGCCCATTGCTGCCCAAGGTGACCCTATAGGGCAGGCAGACCCACCCCACAGGGTGTTGGAGGCTGTGACCTTTTGGTGGCTGACTGCCACATCTTTCTACCTAGGACGCAAGAGCAGGCAGGAGTGCTTAACCCTGTGCCCTGCGGGCTTCCTTCATAGGAACTTGCGACACTTCCCATCTCAGTGGTTCTCCTGACGTCAGGTGTGGTGGGGCGGCCAGCCTGCACCCAGCCCTGGAGGTTCGTAGGAATGCAGGCCCTTCTGTGGAAAGGGGTGTGTGGCGGGAGCGGCTGAGTGTCTACTCGGCTAGCTGGGGGTGGGTGGAGCTGTGGGCATCGGTGACCTCCGTAGGCACCCCCTCCTGGAGAGTGGGGGTCTCCCAGGCCAGTGGGACTGTGAGGAAGGAAGGAGAGGGGGTTAAAGGAAAATGAGCTGATTC